TGAGTTTGTTTTTTGGATATTCTATCTATTTTTTTCAAACTTTTGTAATATGTGTTTTTTTAATGTTGTACGCGTCCCTGAGTCCTTGGGAGAAGGGCGGCATATAAATACAATAAATCAAACCAAACCAAACCAAACCAAACCAAACCAAACCAAACCAAACCTCTGTTTATGCAGCCTAGAACTGTGTTGGCGTTTTTGGCAGCTTCTGCCCATTGCTGGCTCCTATTTAAATGCTTGTCCATTAGGATTCCAAGATCCCTCTCACAGATACTACTATTGAGCAAGGTACCACCTATATGGTACCTGTGCATTTTGTTTTTCTTGCCTAAATGTAGAACCTTACTGTAGAACCTTAGTTCTACAGGTTAGTATATTTCAGTTCAACTTTCTGTTCCTGAAAGTGCATTGGGCCAAACCTTCATCAATGCATAGCATAGTTTTTCTTTTCTTAAAGAATTTTCCTTTCCATAGGAGAAACAATCCGTCAGCTTGGCACTTGGACTTTCTGTGGTCATTTTCACCACCTGCTTATTTTATCCCATTTAGTCAATTCCCTTCCTCCCTCCCAATCATATCCCCAAGCTCATAGAAAGCTCCCACATTTGATTTGCCAGTGGGATTCTTGCCCTATGTAGGTAGTCCTTATTTAGCAACTTTTCACAGTTATGATGGTGATGAAAAAGTTACTTTACAACAATTTACAACCTTCACAAGCCTGTAAAGCAAAGGACATCTGAAATCAGATCATAAGCACAGTTAAAGTTTCACTTAGTGACCATTTTGCTTAACCACTAAGTTGCTGGTTCAAATTATGGTTGCTAAACAAGGACTATTTGTAGCCTAGAGTGCAAAAGTGATAGTGACTAGTGTCCAACAAATCTGTTGTGAAAAAGAGTGCAAAAAAAAAGTCTGCAGAGGGGAGGGGGTCAAGAAAGTCAAGATGGCAGCCACAGTTTTATGATAGAAGCACCAAATCTTTATGTGAGTTGCAAAAACGTTTAAAAAGGGACAAGGTTTTCACTGTGCAGCTGCAGAATTTCTTTTGACTTTTTAAATCACATCTGCACATGCCAATAAATGATAGTAGTAATTGTTGCAGCATATGCTATGAGTAAATCAGCTTTTACAGTGATAGAATAAAATGCCCATATCTTGAAACTGGCCATCTGGGATGCCCACAGACATAACCAAGCATTGAGACTAACATAAGAAGGCTGGATATTCTGACTCTCAGCAGCCATGTGCAGCAAATGAGCTGTTATGAAAAACTGTACTCTGCCTGCTATTTGACCCTACAGTGTTCAACCTTGTGGAATTTGGAATTCTTGTTGATTTATCACCCTGATAAGCTAGATGATATACTAGATGATTTCCATCTCTCGGTTTGGGCCGCCAGGGTTTTAAATACATCAGTGAGAACGATTTCACACTCCACTCAGCTCCAGAGCAAGCAATTGGATGGGGCTGTGTGGCAAAATATTTTGGCTGTTATCTGTCCAAGGACCATTTGCTTTTCTGCTGCTGCTGCACTTTCTTTCTGGAGTTTGAAAAGAAAACCAGAGATTTTCATTCTGGTTTACGGCATCTGGAACATGGTCATATTTTTTTCCTGTGAAATATTGCTGTCCCAGCAGAAGAAATTGGCCTTGACTCATTACTGAGAAGGCTGGAGGAGGGGAAACACATGTGCATGTGCATACACATATCCAAATGAAGGGGCTATTTTGGTCTTTTCCTAGGATGGCAGAATACATAAAAGGAAATAAAAGAAGAATTTTTACCCCAAAAATGTCGCTTCTAAATCTGAGATGCGAATTTCTTCATGATCATTAGGTAGCAGCAGAGGGATACTTTATGGCTCACTCCATTGGCCATCCTGAATTTTGCAACCTAGTTCTAGTTCAGCTACAGTTTGATTATCTCTGAGAGGAATTTTGTAGAAATAATGGAGCTATACCTTCTCTAGACCTTACCTGCCACTTGCAGAGAAATAATGCTTCAAGGATATGTTTTTTTTAAAAAATATAACCTTATAAGCCATCTTTCCCCAGTAGATTTCCACAGATGTGTTGGCTTGGCATTATGGGAACTGTTGTTATTACATTTGGGGAACATCTTATAGTATAGAGGTAATTTGGCATATGGCATAATTCATCTCCATATGACGAAAAAAAATTAATGGGTGATAGACAAAATCATTTCACTGTAGCAAAATGAAGAAATGACCTTCTACCCCACTTCTGGAATTGATGTCCCCACTCTATTGGGAATAACAATAGTAATAGCACTTAAGACTTACAGTATATACACCACTTCACTGTGCTTTATAGGTCACTCTAAGCAGTTTATAGAGTCAGCGTATTGCCCCCAACAATCTGGGTCCTGAGACGTGGCTTGAAAATATAAGACATTTTCAAGCCATGTCTTTTGGAACAGAAGCAACTATATCAAATTCAGCAATGTAATTCATAAAAGCAGAATCTTGGAATTTAGCACTCCATCCTGCAGTATTCCATGAGAGAATGATTAGGGGTTTAAGCATGAGTGGGTTCCTGCCAATTCTAACCTCTTCTGTTCCAACAAATCTACAGTGCCATTTAGAACCGGTTCCAGCTCCCTCCCCCCGCCCGTCTGCACATCATGAAGATGAAGAGCAAGAGGAGGAATTCTAGGAGTTGAAGTCCACAAATCTTAAAGCTGTCAAGTTTGAACACCCTTGGGGTTTTTTTTCTAAAGGGTTAGGGGTGCAAGGGTTTTGTAACTTGACAGCTTTAAGACTTGCACACTTCAATGCCAGAGTTTCTGAGCCAACATTACTATAGGAGGAATTCTGGGAGTTAAAGTCCACAAGTCTTAAAGTTGTCAAGTTTAAACACCCCTGGGGGTTTTTTTCTAAAGGGTTAGGGGTGCAAGGGTTTTGTAACTTGACAGCTTTAAGACTTGCACACTTCAATGCCAGAGTTTCTGGGCCAACATGAC